AGCACCAGTTGGTGAAAACAAACCACCATTTGCCGGTTGTATTAGTTACTGTCTTGTTGCTACAACAAAATACCCATCAAAAGCTTCATAAAGAAGGGAAGGATTTATTCTAGCTCACAGTTCAAAGGGGCAGCATGTCAGGGAGTCGTGGTGGCGGGAGCTTGAGGCAGCTTGTCAAATTTTATCCGTAATCAAGACACAGAGAGCCATGAAAGCTACAGGACTCACTCTCTCCTTATCCAGCCCAGGATCCCAGCCCATGGGACGGTCCTGCCCACTTAGGAGTCTGTCCACTTCAGTTAACCTAGTTTAGAAAATCCCTCACATACATGCCCAGAAATTGTTTCCATGGTGATTCTAAGTCCTGTCTGGTTGACAAGTCAAAATGAACCTTCACACCCATCCAATGGCCTTGGCACTTTGGGGAAACAACTGGCCACTGACTACGATTCTGGTTTTGGACCCTCAGTTCTACATCACTATGTTTATCCTACTACCACTCTGGTTAGATTTCTGTAGCTTTTCAGTGCGTTTTGAACTTGAGAAGTGTGTCTTGCAACTTGGTTGTTTTTCAGGATGATTCTGTCTACTTCATGCTCCTTGGAATTTACATGAATCATAGAACTAGATTTTCCATTTGTGGGCTGGTATTAGAATGCTTATAGAGGTGCATTGAACCTATAGGTCAATGTGAGAATATTAGACGTTAACAATATTAACTTTTCTACGTAATGAGCATGGAATATCTTTCCACTTACTTAGTTGTCTTTAATTTCTTTCAGCCATGTTTCACAGTGTTCAGCGATTTATAGTTATGTCTCCCTAGTTAAATTTATTCCTAAGTATTCTATGCCTTTTAAGTTTTTTCTATAATAAAATACTATAACTGAAAGCAACCCGAGGAAGAAAGGTTTTTTTGGGCTTACAGTTCCAGAGGGATAGAGTCCATCATGGGCGGGGGTGGGGGCAGCAGGAAGCAGAGATCACATTGCATGTGTACACAGAGGGCAGAGAGACAGAAGAGCCGTTTGATGCTTGTTAGTGCTATCCTAAGTTAGGTTCTTTTCTTGTTTGTTCTCAAATTGTTCTTTGCTAGTGTGTAGAAATACACCCGATTTGGGGATATGGTTCATCTATCTTGAGGAAGTTTCTTTCCATTCTTACTTTGTCCAGTGCTTTGTTTTGTTTCGCTGACACCAGGTGACAGATTCAGCTAAGTGATCTTTCTGGATGAATTGAGAGGTCCAGGTGATTTTTTTCCCCCACCACATTGCTCTATTGCTGGAGTGTAACACACTGGTTGCTTTGTTTTCTATTAAATCACCTTCGCATTCTGACTGGTTGTGCCATGTAATCCATTCAGTATGCCACTGGGTCTGGTTTGCATGTATTTGTTGAGGGTTTTGCATGTAGATGTTGACCTACAGTTTTCTCGTGGTGGTTTGGCTTTGCTATCAGGGTTTTGCTGGCCTCCTGACGTGAGTTGAGACATGTTCTCTGGCATTCTATATTTTGGGGAAAAAGATACAACTTGTTCTTCACATGTTTGGTAGAATTTTCACTGAAGCAGTCTGGTCCTTGACGCTTCTTCGCTGGGACTTTTTCAATTGTTATTTCAATATCTTTACTTGCTGTTATCAGTATACAATTAGGTTGGTTTTTTAAAACATATTTTCAGATTAAATCCAAATTTGTTTTGTTTTCGTTTTGTGACACAGAGTCTCACTCTCAAATCCCGCAAATGAAGGTAAGCCACACTGGCTCAAGTACACTTAGAGGCTGAAAATGAAGAGGATGAGCAAAGTCATACCAGACAGATAAGAATAATTAGGATGCCAGAATTTTATTAGCAAACAAATGCAATCCAGGCTAAAGAGCATTAAGCATGATGACAGGGAGCTATGTAATATTTCAGAGTGCCATCCAAATTAAATGCAAATATAGCTAAAACTAATAGCTGTGCCATAGATAACCAAGTTATTCCACTCAACATTAATTTCAGCAATGCATAGAGGTCAGCAGCACACTAGTATCCACCTCTTTCTTGCAGGTCATGTGGAGAGAAAAGCAAAGTTCGTGTGCCTCCAGGGCAATTCTGCAGGGCAAGAGACCTCTGCCACAGTGAAAAACGGTTATCTTTATCCTAAAAGAGCCTGGAAGAGCACGAAGCTTATCTCACTCAGTAGTTCAGGGGCCACATTCCTTCCAGGCTGTGGCTTGGTGAAGCCAGTTTAAATCTGGCT